AATCTGCATTTTAAAATGCATACCCCAGGGGACTCTGATACCCATAGTCCATACAGGTCTACCCCAACTGTGTAATGTGAAGGCCTGCACCTGGCAAGTACTTTGAGACAATTACAGAGAAAATGTACATGGAAGAAAACACAGTGGATTATACTACCCTGATTTATAATTGACCAAATCACACACTTGTGTTACCTCCTCTGAGCTTTGCCACGCCGGGAGACAGCATTATGACTTTCACTACCACTTAAAAATGAGGAAACCGAGGTTCACAGAGCTTAAGTGATTTGGCCTTGATAAAACAAGCCCGCAGGACTTGAATCTGGATCTTTTAAATGTAAATTCCATGTTCTTGAAGGTTACCCTTATCTTAAACTTTCGTACTAAAGCTGCTTGTAGGCAGGTGATTTTAGCAAATCAGTAGAGGTAAATTACTAGTCACATGAGATTTTTTAATACAAATTATACAAACTTATACAAATTTCATAAAATGTTTAGACAAATATATGAATTTGTATACAATGTAGAGAAAAATAATGATGAATTTGTTGAGCCAATGAGCTGAGTGCCTTGGGTTTTGGAAAGATCACTGCCCTGCAAAGCCTACTAAGTTCTACAAATTTCGACACTCTCCCCTCTCAAAGTGTAGTTCCACACACCCACAGGCGTTAACTGGGAGTTTATCAGAATTGCAGAATCTTGGGCCTCACTTCCAGCCTGAGGATAAAAATCTCTAAATCAAACAAGATTCCAGAGTATTTTATATTGCATATTACAATTGTTATCTTAGAAAAATGACTCAGTTTTTCTGAATTTCACTGTCCTCAACTGTAAAACAAGAAAGAAGAATTAAGTATCTTTAACATCTCTTCCAAGTTACGGGAACAGGAGATTTGGCAAACTACGGCCTGAGGGCCAAATCTGGCTGGCAAGATAAGGCAGGTTTTTACATTTCTAAATGGTGGAAAAAAATTAAAATAATAATATCCTGTGACATGTCAAGGTTGCAACGAATTCAAATATTACTGTCTATAATAAATTTTATTAGAACACAACCAGACTCATTAGTTTATGAATTGTCTACAGCAGTTTCCGTATTATAACGACAGAGCTGATTAGATTCAGCAGAGACTGCATGGCCTTCAAAGCCTAAAATGTTGACCATCTGGCCTGATACAGAATTATTTGCTGACCCTTATAACTACAACTACCATTTAAGCACTTACTATGAATCGGAAACTGTACTAAGACTATATATGAATATAACTTGAATATATGTGCATATAGATACAAATCTGTAAACAGTTGGTTCAGTTATCTCTCCATTCCCCTTTTATTCCATTAAAAAATTTTTTTTTTTAGGTATTTATTTCAAGGAGAGAAAGAGAGAGTGTGAGCTGGGGGAAAGGGTAGAGGGAGAGCAAGAGAGAGAGAATACTCAGGCAGACTCCCTGCAGAGCATGGAGCCCCATGGGGAGCCCTACCTGAGAAGCGGATATGGGCTCCCCATGGGGCTCCCACATAGGGCTGATTCCAGGACCCTGAGATCACGACCTGAGAGGAAATCAAGGGTTGGCTAGCAGCTTAACCCACTAAGCCACCCAGACACCCCTCCATTTAAAAATGTTTAAAACATCTGATAATCCCAGGTTTTCAGAATTTTTTTTTTCCTTTTTTGAAGGGAGATGCAATCATGTAATGATTTTCACGTTGTGGAATGTGAGGCGGGCTCTCTAAGAGGCACATATCAAAATCTCTAGTGGAGAAGGAAGGGGAAATTATAATTTGAATAAAACATACTTATATGAAATTAATTACTGAAAATTCAACAATTTCCTAAGCATGTGGGATTTCCAGGAAAATGAGAGGGAGCACCAAGAGTTTGCATGGGTTACAAATGATTTCGAGAATAAATGAAATCTTTAATTTCCTTATTTTCTATTTACTGTCATTAATATCTAAAGGGCCTGCTATTCTATTTCAGTCAACAGAGACAGAAACATACACAGTAATTATATCAGAGTTTTCCCAATTGAAAATTTAGGTAATTCCTAAGTACTAATCAAAACAATAATCTTAGAAAGTTTGCCACAGGAGTTTGGAGTATAAACTATGATTCTAAAATAATGCAAATAAGAAATGACACAAAGTTAGGGGGCTAGACTTCAAATTTCTCTGACTTCTAAATTAAGATGCCAATATCATACATTATACAAATATATAAATGCTTATCAAGAAACATCTAAATGAGGAAAATATGATAAACTGTATAATAATATCACTTAGATTCTGCATTTGCTTATAAAATTCAAACATTTCTAGAATTTGATCAACCCAAATATCCAATTGAAAAGAAACAAGAAATAATTTGAATTTCTAGGTGATATTTTAAGGTTATTCAAGGATGCATTCAGGAATTTTTTTCTAAAAGGAAATTTAAAATAAAGAAAATCATCTGTCTTTGCAAAGGCACAAAAATCTATTCATCATGAATTTTAAATTTGTTACTTATTATCACAAAGTAGAACAAGTATTTCTAGTTCTACTTTATTACCAGAAAGAAGTAAATGATATCACCAATATTAATAAACTTTATTACTATAAACCAGTAAACCAGGAGAATAAAATTATATTTTATTACTCTAAACCCATTTTTGTTTTTGTTTTGTTATACTTTAGCATAATAGGTTTAAAAAAAAAAAGTTGAGGTATGTTTACTTTGTTTGCTTGGCAATTAGCAACTTAGCTATGTAAAAAGTTTCCTCAAAAGTAAGATTACTTGAGCACTGAAATTGAAACGTTTAGTAAGTCATGATTCTCAAATATTGAGTTAATTTCTCTATTATTGAATTATTCTTTCTTTTGAATTTTTCTGTTCTCTATTTACATCTTCCTGTAAAAGGATTTCTAGTTATTAATTTTCTAGAAAGTAAATAAAATACAGAATACACAATTTAAGAAACACACATAAACACACATATATATACAAACTTTCTTCATAATTACCCATTTGATATAATTAGTACCCAAATCATACTATTTTTTTTTCATACTATGATGTCATAAAATTCTCTATCCCAGATTCATAAGACTGTACTAATTATCTTACACACAATTTGGTAAGATAAATCAAATCATTTAGTTCTTACCAGATTCTGCCCAGCACATCAAACAGAGAAAAATGTATACTTTCATTTGGAATCCAATAAAAGTAAAAGCAGCACTCTGACTCAGCAAAAAAGAAATTCTGAAATTCATTAAGGTTTCTCTTTGGTAAGATTGTCAGAGTCTGGTAGGTTTTAGCATAAAAGATTCCTGACCTTTTGCTCCTCCCTGTTTGTAGAAAAGGTAAGGTAGTTTGTCTTCTCTTATCTGGCTTGTGGTGGTGAGAGGATTTTTAAGTCAAAAACTCTAAGAAGTCACCAACAACAGCCCAAGTTAAATTTAAGGGAAAGAAAAACTAATTATATCTTTCTTTATTCCTCTTAACCTCAAGATTTCAGAAGTGGTCAAGAAGAATATGTCTGTGCAAAGCCTAGAGTAAATGTGATGTTAAAAAATGCTAGAAATGGAGAGTCAGAAAACATTGTGGTTTATGTTCATTTTGATTACAAACGAAGTTGTCTTCATATACCATAAAATCAATAATAAAATCCATATCCATCAAGCTGTCAAATATAAAATATGGCTTTTTCATGTTTGTGTAATTTTGCAACCTAAACTCAGTGGCTATTTTAAAATTCTAAAATGCTGGGTTGCCCTTGAGTTCTACAATTGGAAAATAAAAAATATTTTTGTTTTTAATTTAACAAACATTTTAAAATTATGGGATTTTTCCCCCCCAGATGTTAACTCCATTTTCCCCTTTATTTTCCTTCCAGGAATAGACGTTAGTAGGTCTGGAAAATGGAGAACTGTTGTAAGTACATGCGTGATCAGTTCAAAAATTAAGTTTGTTTTTTTTTTTTTTGTAAATTCAAGTCTCTGTAAATTTCCAAAGATATTTCAAGATCAGAAGTCCCTAATTCATATCATTTATCAGCAGAAACTAATCAAGGTCTGGGAGGTATTTCAAAGAATCCACAAACAAAATGAGGTATTCATTTAAAAACCATGAAAAATTTAAAAACCATCAATTTAAACTATTTGATCTCCAGGGATTTTATGTGAGACTTTACTTTATATGAGACTTTACTTTTTATGTGAGCCCACTACTATAATTTAACTGGAGACCACCAATGCACTTCGCTAACAAAGATAGGAATAAACCACATCATTTTGCAATGAGGGAAGAAAGGTAATATAAATGTCATACATGTTAAAAGAGATTCTTAACAAGTTTATACTTAAATTAAAAGACAAATCTTTTCTATTTAACATTTTTCTTTTATCTAGTGCTTTTAATGTGACTCTGAAATATTAATTTTATACATTATTTTCATCTCAACTATTCTGAAGAGCTCATATTGAAAATATCAACTTGGCATGTAAAACAGTACGCTACATAGCAGAATTTCAAAATGTAAAAAACTATACTATTTTCATAGTTTTTACTTACTGTTGGTAGTAATAAAATTGAAATTACCATCCATTGCATTAAATAGCAAAATACTGAGAAATGGCAAATTATATAAAGTGTCCATAGTTTAGTAAGAGAATATTTCCATGCTTACTTAGTGCTCCTTCAAAATAAAAACTGACTTTAAGTTTACAGACATAGATACAATATAAATAATATGATAAAAGTGATAATGAGGATGATAAGGATAAAGATATAAAATTGATTGAGCCCTGTGAGGGAGACCTGGGTGGCTCAGTGGATTAAAACTGATTGAAACCTGTGTACCATGTACACTTCTACCAGGCACTTTACAGTACTTATAATGGAAAGTTAAGCAGTGTATACTGGAGATGGGGGAGTCATTGTTTATAAGAATTTATTTTGGTACAATCTTTTTGTATAAATTAGAAATATGTGTCAAAATATTTAATGGTCTTACCCTTTGATTCAGCAATCAAATGTCCAAGATATTTTCCCACAGAAGTACTAACCCATGTGCACAAAGACATATGAGCAAGGATGTTAATCTCAGCATTTTTATAATGGCTAAAAAAGGGAAATAATGTAAATGTCCAACAGTGGGGTATTGGTCTAATTATGTATATACTGTTGATTAAAATTAATGATGTAGATAAATCAATATTAATGGTATAGAAAGTCTCCATTCCATAGTTCAAGGGGAGAAAAGGCAAGCTACAAAATAATATGTAGAGTAAAATTTATTTTCCTAAAATATGTTTTACATATATATGCATAGATCAAAGTTAGGTTTTCCTCCAAAATGTTTATCCCTGCATGGTAGACTTATTGATGTTTTTTTACTTTATTTCTTTAAGCATTAAAAATATTTCTTTACCATAAGCATCTAAAACAAGTAAAACAAAAAAAGCTCTATTTACTTGGGACAAATATGGTTAGGATAATCAGAATAAAGAAAAAACAAAGATAGGAAAAAAGTGAAGACAAAAGTGAGGTCAATTTTAGCAAAAGCATCCACTAGAGTCCCTTAACACTATTTGATCAAGATTCTCCATTCACTCATTCATTTATGCAACTTTTATTAAGCATGTACTGATTTCTGGGCATAATGTAGTTGAACACAAAAAGTAAAGACGTTCATTTATTCAAACTGTATCATGTCAACAACTATTTAAGATACATCCACAGGTATGTCAGGGATTGTCCTAGGTACTGAATTATATTTACCCTATAGAAATTCACAGTGAGGAGGGCTTGAAAAAGGTATGTCTAGGGAACCGTGGCACCACACAGCAGGGAAGCCAGCTAATCTAGAATGCAGAGTTCAGACAAGCCTTGTAGGAGATGCTGCCTGGGCTGGACTGTAAAAAAGAGTTAAGAGTCAGTTGGGCAAAGAAAGGAAGAAAGAAGCTCTTGTTTTAGATAGATAGATAGACAGGTTTATATACATAACTTATAATTTTATATATTATATATAAACATTTTCATTTTTGAATACATGAAGTTAGGGGTATAAAACATCCTGATATGAGTGAAGAAAGGCTAATTCTTTATAGTATTACACACATTTAATCCATTAAATCTTATATTTGACTAATGGTCCAAGAAATGCCGAGAATAAATTATTTTTTAGCTACTGCTAGGTTCATTACCATGTGTTACTTATTCAATATAAGTTAGGAAATACAGTAAGCCTAAATTAGAAAAATGATACATATTTAGGTCAAATTCTGAATAATAAACAGCTGACTGCATGAGCTGACTTTCAGAGCTTATAGTACTAAAAAAGTACTCTAGAAGTCTAAACACCATAAACTCAGGTCCTGCCAAAAGAAAAAAGGATGTGATAAGAATGCTAAAATCATACATATTTGTTTTTTAAAAAAAAGTATGATGCAAACTTCAGTATAGCAAAACAATATGGTTAATTATCTATAAATACAGCTAAAAGCTTCTATCATTCACAATCAGATATGTACACTACAAATTTTACAATGAAACCTGAAGATCCAACTCCCGTATCAGCTGTGACTGAGGGGAAGTTAAAGAAGGAATATGTTCATTTGGGTAAGATTTATGATATAAAATGAATTTAAAATCAATAGTATTACACATAACTGAGACCTTCATGTATCCATTCACTTGATCAACATATATTTGTTATACAACTGCAATATGTTAGTTTCCTTAATCCCCTTTTACTGTACCACAACAATGTTGAAGAAAGGAAGAAAGGAAAAACGGAGACAGGACTTACATCCTTAGGATATGGACAGAAGGTGACTACTAAAGTTACTGAACCATGATTTTGTTGAGAAGTCTGTCTCTCTCCTTATGCTGAAGGCTTTAATATCTTTATACTTAAACCTTTGCTCCCCAAGGATTAAAGACAGTGCCTGGCACATAGCAAGCATTCAAAAAATACCTACTAAATGAAGTACTGTAATTACATTAACCCTACCCACTCCTTAAGAAATAGAACTTGAGTTCCAAAAAGAGAAATTGCTTAAAGTCATAAAATTAATGTCAGAGTTAATTAGAAATCAGGGTTCCAAAGATGTGTTCCTTTTCATTAGAAAAGATGGGGCTTTTTTTGGTCCACCAACCACATATACTCATGCCTCCTTCAAGGCAAAGTGAATTATCACCACTCCTAACAGCCAAATGATGTCCTGATTACTTGTATATTCATAGGATAATTTCAGGTCTTTCATAGACCTATGGATTCTTCAGAAAGGAAGCCAAGTTAACAGTAGACAGTTGATTTATCTATCTACTGAGATTCTGAGTGGGTTTTCTTCTCCCTTTCTTTTTTTTTTTTTTTTTTTTTTTTAGGATTTTTTTTTTCCCCTAACCCTCCTCAAGGATTACTCACCCACTGTATATAAAGTACAGCCGTGATACAAAGTATAAACACTGACTCCCGCTACAAGCGGGATTCCATCCTCATAACTTCAGGCTTCAGTCACAAAACTTGCTATACTCTTGGTAGTGTTCCTCGGTAGAGGCCGTTTTTTCAATTTTCAAATGCCTTCTGGCGTCCACCTAAAACCTCTGTGGCCCATTTTCAAAGACTTCTCTCGGGCGCGCTTCCTAGGTAAATAACCTTTAATTCTAGGACTCTGTTATATTTCACATCCACATCTAGGCGTGCAGGATTTACTGTTTCAAAAAAGTATTTTATACTGTATAAAAAGTATCTTGTATAGAAGTATTTTATATAAAGTATTTTATATAAAAAAGTATTTTATACAGAATATAAATTCAAACTCCTAACGATTTATTCATTCACTCCTAGGAAACAACTCTTCCCCCGTTATCCTGGGAGCTCCCTTACTGCGGCTAGTACGTCTTAAAACATCTCTACAGACATTTTACTGAAAATGTTGACTGAATAAAGGCAAAGTCAATTAATAATGCCCTATCTAGGAAAATGGAAGGCACTCCACAAGCTAGACGCCAAAACCCCGAGCGCAGTAATCTTTTTTATTATTCTCACTCACTCTCCCAGGGTCTCCACGGCATCCCACGCACGTGGAGGCGCGATGGGCGGCTCCCTCAAGCCTCTGGGGGGCGTGGCCCCGCAGCCTCGCCCCGCCCCTGGCGCGCGCGCTCCCGTCGCCGGCTCCGCTCCCTTGTTCCGAGCGGCGCAGAAAAGCGACGAGAGGGGGCGGGGTCTGGAGACCTCCTCCATCCTCGGGCCGAGACCGGAGGGATGTTCCCTGCTCAGGAGGAGGCCGACAGGACGGTGTTTGTGGGGAATTTAGAGGCCCGAGTAAGGGAGGAGATTCTTTACGAGCTATTCCTTCAGGTATCGTCGGCCGGGGGCGGCGGAGGGGCGGGCAGCGTCGAGCCGGAAGCACAGCCGGAGGGGCGGGGCGCACCTGGATCACCCGCAGCCCGGCCACCTTCCCGCGGCATCCTGTGCCTGGGTTTATAATTTTGTTCCGTTTTGGCACACCTGCCCCTAGGCGAGCAGCTGGTAGTGAAGTGATAGAATATGTGCTCCATCCCCATAGTAGAGCCCCGAGGGTGGGCGGTGACTTGGCTCTCCCCAGTCCATGTCCCCCACCCCCCGCCAAAGCTCTCTCCGCTTTGCGGAGACTACCTGGGCCTTGGGTGTCTAGGGCAAAACAGCCGTGTCACTACCTTCCTTAGGGTAATAAGAACCATCACGCCTTACATCCAGCGAAATGATTGGTATAGATTTTAAAACGTTGCCCTATACATTACTTATTCCCCCAAACCCTTTCATATGGAGGGTGTTTTTACTCCAGTATGGTCAAGTGAGGTTTAATGATTCGGACAGTCAAATCCTGACTATAACCAGTTGATTGCCTGGGCAGTTCCTTACATTTCTTTTCATGACAAGAAGACCTTTTGGAAACTTCTCGAGACTTAGGACCTTCATGAGTAAGCCTTCTGTCTCCTGTAAACACTCACCTATGGTATACATATAGGTGTCACTTCTAACGTGATCTACTCATCCAGCCATTCGTCTAGCCGTTACATGACAAACACGAAATAAAATGCTGAACATACAAATTTAAGAGCTAGCCCTTGGTCTTTCTAAAAGGGGAAATTTAAAATTAATTACCATGATCCAGGGTAATCCAAAAAGAGAAGGATACATAATATATTGTAATTGTTTGGGGATATGAACTCTAATGTCTTAACGTCTAACGTCGATGGGATTTGGGGCAAGTACATGAATATCTCAGTCCTGCAGTTTTCTTTAAATGTCAAATGGTAATAATAGCATCTACAATATGATGTGGTGGGAAGATTAAATAAATTAATCCAGGTAAAACCGAATTGAACTTGGCATTTCTAAGTGCTTGCTGCTGCTACCGCTATCAGTAATAGTACTATTACTAAAACTGCTAATACTAATATCAAGAGAAATCAAGAAAGAAAGACTTCCCCCTATCAGAATAAGGGCAAGTTGCAAGGCAGACAATGGCAAAACTAAGTTTCTAGGACTAAGTGATAGTACTAGCAATGAAAAGTGTTCGCTACATAGTTTTTGAAACGCCCTAAATTTCTGTCTTCTGTTAATTTCAAATACAATTTCATAAAGACAATCACCTCCTCCCCCCATCCCCTCCCCCAGAAACACAGTTTCCTTTCCTGGAAAGAAAACCTTACTATTTGAAAAATACTGTTGATTTTAAGGCTTTTATGCTTACTTTTCTAATTTGCCATCTTTTTGAATTTGTCCTTTTTAATCTGGTCTGATAGTTGTCTTATAGTTATTTCCCCCAATATCATTTGAAACTTATCACTCTAACAACGAAAAAAAAATTAAAGGAAAACTGAAAGAAAAAACCTTATAGTTCTTTTTCCCCTGAAGGTTTTCTCATGTTGAGCCTCCAAAAAGGAGGAGGGGAGTTGGTGAAGGGGTTGGGGGTAGACATAAAGACCCCAAGCATGCACTTATGTTATTTTTAGACATTAGAAACTGGATCGATATGAGTTGTATGGATCTATAAGATGGATAGATAGATATTATATATATAAAATCTCATTTTAAAAAATAATTTCTACCTAAACAAAATGTTCATCTCTTTTAACAGATCAGGCAACCAAGCATATGTTTTTATTTTGGCTAGGTCCTTCTGTATTCTGTAAAGATTTGCTAAACTGAGGTATCTTTTAGAAAGACTTTTCAAAACACATGAACTTAGTCTTCAGAAAGACTAAAAGATGATGGGATTGTTACTACAAACAAGTTTTGTTGAAATTTATCTTTAGAAATGCTTTGGTATATCTTCAAATTTATAAAATTTAAGCATATTCTGTTCATTAATGATTTCATATATTTAATATCTGTAGTAGAACAGTACTGATTAAAATTGATTTATTTTATTACTGTATATTTATCCTTTTACTAGCTTCAAGTTTACAAGTTTCAAGTTTCTGATTATCCTTTGAAGTGAGAAAATCAGGTTTAAAGTTTTTGTACTTTGACTAAGAAATACTGAAGTAGACATTTGGAGGATAAAAATAATGAATTCAGTTTCAAATATGTTGAATTTGAAGAACAGTCACACAGAGGTCTCTAGGAGACATGAGTGTAAGAAACAGATTTGTTGATGAAGTGGTCCTTGAAACCAGAAGGGAGGATGAGCTAGTCCCAAGAAAGCAGAAAATGGAAAAAAAAAAAAAAAAAAAAAAGACTGAACCCTAAAATATAGTATCATTTTAAAGATGATAGTTAACATTTTTCTTTAGAATTAAAGCAATTTCTTTATCCAACTTGACAGAGAATAGTAATCAATTATTAAAGTACAATTAAAAATTATGACACAGTTGCCATTAAATCTTAGTTGTTTGTAAGTCTTTGTGGGTGCCTCCTGTAATCATTATCATGAAGGACATGTAATTTTTTTAGTTTTATTGTTTTTTACAATATTTCACTCTACTTTTTTACTCTCTTTTACTAATTATAGGTTTTACTATCAGTACAATCTGAATATTTTCAATTTGTTTTATTCCATTTTAGTACTACATGATGGAATAATATTCTCTCATTGTTGGAATTAGAACCTTTCTAATTTTTCACTCAGATAAACAAAACCTACTTAAAAGTTGTAAACTTACTAAAACATTTTTTTCCTTTGGGAATATTTACCAAATGGGATTATTAGATCAAAACACATGATAAACTAGTTTCTCTTGTCAAAATTGTTAACTTTGATAAAAAAAAAATTTAGGCTGTGCTACAATAGAACATTTTTTTTTTTAAGATTTTATTTATTTACTTGACAGAGAGAGAGAGACCACAAGTAGGCAGAGAGGCAGGCAGAGAGAGAGGAAGGGAAGCAGGCTCCCTGCTGAGCAGAAAGCGCTATGCGGGGCTCGATCCCAGGACCCTGGGATCATGACCTGAGCCGAAGGCAGAGGCCTTAACCCACTGAGCCACCCAGGTGCCCCTAGAACACTTTTTTTAGGCTCACTCAACCTGACATGAGGTTTGTCATTTCAGTTTGCTTCTGAGTTATATACAGTTAATACGTATGGAGATAAAATAATATTTTCCTCTTAGATTTATATGCTCTCTAAATTGTTTTTGTTAAAGTTGACAGAGGGTAACATTTCTTTTAAGATTTGGAACTATTGCCTAAAATTTTCTGTTCTTAACACCATGAATGTTTCCTTGATGAGCCAAAAAATACCAGAAAGTGTGATGAAATACGGTATTTACTGTTAGGAGATGCATTATTCACATAGCTACATAAAACAATTATTGTTAACAGGTTTTTTTTTTTTTTTGGAAGTCTGAAGTTGAATATACCTGATTTATCTGAATGTAAGAAAAAAATCTTAAGAAAAAAAATCTTTAGATTTATGAGAAAATAATTTTTAAGTTTTTTATAGGCTGGGCCATTAACCAAAGTGACTATATGCAAAGACAGAGAAGGAAAGCCGAAGACTTTTGGATTTGTCTGCTTTAAACACCCTGAATCGGTGTCTTATGCCATAGCTTTGCTGAATGGAATTCGTTTATATGGAAGACCAATTAATGTACAGTATCGATTTGGTAGGTCTTGCCACTGATGTATCTTCCAAGTGTGTTTTGTTGATGGTGTTGTTCTCAGATCTGTAAATATTGTGTTTTCATAATGTAAGACCCAAAAAGTGCTCCTGTTGTCTCTGTTAAATTTTCTCAGAATACATGTAGACATTCATAATGTTATATGGTTAGCTAGTATTGCCAGTCCTATAGCATCTCTTCTATATTAAAATTTAAACTGTTCTTAGTACCAGCCAGCAAGTAGCTATGACAGTTGCTGTTGGCTGTTTTAAATTTAGCAAATCTAAATGAATTGGGGGCATACAGTTCTAATCTTTGATACACCAAGGCCATTTACTAATCTTCTTGTCAACTCTAGCGTATGGTATCAAATACCTGCTGTTTGGAAGGTAGAGTGAGAGGCTGATCATTCTCTTGGGAACACTATACTCCACATTCTGCCCTGGATCTAAGCCCTTACAAGAGTAGCTGGCCAAAAGCAGCCACAGAGTGACCCTCAGTCACTGTGGAGAAGAGCTTCCAGACACAAATGACCTCAAATGCCTTGTCCTACACACCTGTCAAAAGCGGGTTTGATACCAGAGAACATCGTACTAGCACTCTACCTCTCTCCTGTTTGGAGGGACTGAACAAGGAGATGCTTCTGGTGTCTCCCTCCCCGAAATGATGCAAGCCTATTGACAGATCCGTTGTTTGTTGATTTTCTTCCTCTTGTTAAACTAAAAACAGGTAATAAGAAAACAATACCTCATTGCAAAGGAAAAAGTTTCTCCTTGTGTTTCTTTTATTTATATTTTTAATGATTTCACAAGGGTGATTGGCTGTATCATTGCTTTCAAGTACTGTTTGGTTAACTCACACAGACTGGTAAAATGGGCCAGAATGTACTGTGTTCTGACACGTCCTAGCCAGCTGCTCAGCATCTTCTGGGAGGTTGCATCCATTTTGGCCAGTGCAGTTTAAAGAACTCTTGCATTCTCTGCAAGATGCAGATAACACTAATTTTTGCCATTGTTGGCCTACGAGCATGTAGAACAGCACAGTATCGTGTATCTTACTGTCCCATGTCAGTATCATTCTTCCGTACAGCCCTATTTTGGACAAAGCTTGGTTATAATTCAGTCATTCATTTGTTGTAAACAATCTGTGAATATTAC